TTTTTGTTACGAAAAGGAAAATGAATTAAAATGAAATTAAACCTAAGTTCTATTAATTTTAATTTTTAAAAAAAAAGTTAAAGTGTTTAGTTAATTAATTTACCAAAATTAAAATTTAATTAAGAAAAAATCCTAAATTTATTTTTATGTGATTTTTATATTTGTTTATTGATAAAAATAAAAAAAGAGATTAAAAGAAATAAATGAAATGAATAAAACAAGAAAATAAAGATAGGCCTAGTAGCAAAAGTAAACAGGGGGTGAAATCATCAGAAATCCTTAGGCCTGAATCTTCGAAAGCTTCATGCTCTAACTATGATTGTTTTTTATTCTTGCGTGGAACCTATGATTCAACCATCCATAAATGTTCTATATAAACTCAAACAAATGTTAGCATGCCATAAAATGTGGTTAAAATTAGAGATTCGAAGTTTAAAATCTTACCAAACCGGTATTGTCAAATGGGGGCGTGCTAGGCGTGTGATGGATTGCTCTTGGGCCTTGTAAGACTCCTGAGGACTTCAAGAGGATGGTTTGAGGTTTGATGTCAATTGAGAGAGACCGGAACCTCGAGATATGACTTGCACCAATTCTTTAATTTCTGGAGAGCTTTTTGAAGAGCTTTTGGAGAGCTTTTTGAAGAGCTTTTTGAGAGCTTTTTAGAGAGGAATTTCGTCCCTTTCAAGCTTGTATGGCTCTATATTTATAGAGGAGACAAGAAAGCATGGAAATAATCTCCCTCATAATGTTGTCATGAACCATCATAAAATTTTCCCAAAATGGATTCACATCAAAATTTACATTATTTCTATTATTTATTTATTTAATTCTGAATTTTAATGAATAAAATATTAAAATAAATAGCATAAATAGTATAAAAATGTATGGGTGGGCTTAGAGGTCGTGGTCCATGTTAGGAATGATTTTCAAACTTGAAAAGATAGGCCCATTTGGAAAAAATCCAAGTTTGGTCAATATTTGCTTCATGCATTTTTTTCAAAAATTGTCCAACTTTGACAATGCATATCTCTCTCAATTTTAACCTTATGAGGGTGTTCTTGGACTTTTTAGAAAGCTTTTGATGTCCCTTAAGCAACCTCTTTGGTTTCATCTCAATTGGATCTTCCATGTTCATGTAGGAAGCTTTGACCCAAAAGATGTTTTTGTTGACTTTTCAAAATGACCTATAATGTCCAAATTTATATCTTCTTGTGAGTGTATATTTTGAACTTGGGAGATGAAGATGAATTGTAGGGAATTACATCCTCTTCAAAATGAGCTTTATATGGGTCATTTATGATAAAGTATGAGAAAATTATGCTTGGTCAAAGTTGAGTTGACTTTTCCTACAAAACCCTAATTTAGCAACTTTTGGGTTTTGATGAATTATGAGCAATCCTTGAGGAATCATGATCAACCCTTGATAAAATGATGAATAATACTTCAAAATGAGGATTTTGACCAAAAATCTTGAAGTTTGATTGTATGTGGGCCACAATTGACTTTTGCCCTAGCACATTCGACTTTCAGGCCTTTGAGCAGTTGACTGAGCAAACTTCCTCTGCAAGGCTTGAAACTTGACATGGATGATCTTGAGAATATATTAGGACAATAGTGAGCATTTGGGGCCTTTTTGATCCACACATATTGATGAAAGTGGAAACCCTAATTTAAGACACACTACCTTAGGAGAGAGTTTGTCTGGTCAACTCTTGGGCAAACTTGAGCAAATTGAGGATCTCTAGGAGTATCTTTTGAGTAAAATGAGAGAGAAAATTTTGGGGTACAACAAAAACGAATTTCAATATAAAAATTACTCAAAATCAATTCTAGAGGCAAAAACTACAAATTCTAACTTCAAGTAGAATCAATTCTACTTTAACAAAGCCAAACATGTTAAAATTATTGCAGAATTAATTAAACACTCTAAAATACTTTTACCTCTTCTAGAATTGAAACCAAACATATACTTAATTACTTATCGTAAAAAATTGGGTGGAATTATTTTAAGTTAAAATACAATAAAAACATCCAAAATTTAAATTATTTAATAAATAGTTAAGTATAATAAAATAAAATAGCGTTAATTGATTGATTGAAGGTACAATATTTAACTATTTATGATGGATAAATAAATCTAATGATTACAACAAAAAAATTGGATAAAAATAAATCAATTTTTTATACTTATACAGTTGGTGTAATAAATAATGATCGGAACAAGCAGTGATTTCTGAAATTTGATGATTATGTGAAGAAAAAATTAGGTTTGTGGATAACAAAAAATAGTGTCAGAAGGAATTGGAATTGTACTCGCCAAGAGGTGAAATTTTGCTCTCTATTAAAAAGTGCGTAGTTGGATTTTGGGTTGGATCGATCGGTCAGTCTTTGGTGTGCATCAGTTGGCTTGTCAATTTTGTTGATGTACTCCTGGCCTTTATTAGCTGGATCATATACCTCTGACGTTGTTACTTTGTAGAAATTAGGGTGCTGAAAGAAAGTCTAAGCTCTAGATATGACAGTAAATAAAATGTTACTAGAATTGATAATCCGTTTCGGTGCAAAGCCACCTACGTTTAAAGGGAGTTAACCCAAGAAAGAAAATTCACTCTTAATAGTCAGAAGTACAAATTAGTCGGATTTGAATTCTCCTAATTAAATGTCTCTTTTATTAATACTACCCATGAATTTCTATTAAGGACTCCCTCCTGAATATGAAACACCCTCACTTTCACTCAAACACTCTCTCAAGTGTTTGGAAAGTTACAAGAGTTTAAGAATGATGAAATAAAATTACAACTCAAACTACTATATTTCCTTAACATAGGAATAAGACTCAAGAAAAGTATTACAAAATAAAACAAATAGACTCAAAATCAATAAACACGCCTAGTTTGATTTTGCAAGGCCTGAGTCTTTACAATGAAGAACTCCTCCTCAAATAGCAACAAGGTCCAACTTCAAAGCCCATTAAGATTTTTTTCTTTGAAAGCGATTGAACATTCCACAAGCGTGAGTAACCAATCTCCCATTATGTTGACTGATAATATTTTATTGATTAAATCTTGATCATATTAAAATTCCTCAATTTTAATCTTGCTCATAATGATCTTTTAGAAAAACTTCCATATTCAAAAAAGTACATAAAAGATTAAACATGATTAGATAAATAAGAAAATGAATCTTCAATCAACGCAAAATTTATGCAGCGCTAAGAAGCTTTTGGGCGCGACAGAATGTCTCGCAAACTATGGAACATTATGCTCAACATGTTGCTTCCTTATTTGAACAAAGAGAGACATGGTGTCTCAGAAAATGTCATGACATATTGCTTCACACGTTACCTATAAAATAATGACAATCAGATATTAACAACCCCCTTTTGGCCAATTTGTAGGCATATACAACATGCAAGATGTAATGCATAACCTTACATATATTCTTTATGACATGATTATCCGAATTATGAGAGAGCACTGAAACACACATGATAGCTAAGATCACAACCATAAACATAAACTTGCAAACAAAAATACAACTTGCATATATCATCCCAAATATCACACAACTTTTTCAGAGGATGTAAAAACACCAAATAGAAACAATTAAGTCTTGCATATAGCATCATCATCTTCCCCTTATTTCCTCAAAATGGACAAAAGGTAAAACATAAATATCATAATAATAAAATAAGGGTCATGCTAACATGTGCCCTAAGAACACATGTTAAAAGTATTATAATTAGAAAAATTTTAGTGTAATAAAATCATATTTAATATTTCAAAAAGTTGAATGCACGCATTGTAAGACAATATTACTACAAATAGTTTCTTAACATGTGATTTTCCATGAAACAAACATAAGAACCAACCCAACAATGAGTAATTGAAACCAATATCCGGCCCGTGTAGGATAATCACAATGTCGGAATAATAAAACCCACACAAGAATAGAGAATAGAACGAAGAATCCTTCCAAACATCTGGTGTACACAACCATTAATAAAAAATTTCAATAACCAACAGAAAAATTACCTAGAGTCACTAGAGGAGAAAAATTCACACTCCACTTCGTTACTCTCAACACTAACTTCCACATTGTCTTCACTAGTATCCTTTTCCACATCATTACCAACATCCTTCCTAGCATCATTTCCAATATCATGTCCTCCATTTTGAGAACTGGATGCTTCAAACACTTTAAGATTCATTAGCCTAATGAGATCTTGAAGAATCTTGGAGACCGACATGATCTCATTTAGCATATTTCCTACTTATGATCCGGATGACTCTAAGATGAGGGACATTCTAGATGCCATCATGAATGAGGGACGAGCGGCACTACAATACATGATGCAACGTATGAGCAAGGGGGCCTGAGTCTGGCATAAGCAGTAGTATACACTAATTGTATTAGGAGCGCTATTATCGTTTGTACTTTATTTTGATTTCATTGTGTATTATGGATTTATTCATTTATATATATATATCATATTTATATTGTTTGATTAGTGTATGGTTTAATTTATATAAAATTGAATATGATAGTATAGCTATAATACATCGTCAATTAAATTAGGTTATCTCTTAAACAAAGTAAAAAATTATTGTATGGTGTAAATATAAAAATACATTTTAGATTCTGTCTGGTGTGAATATGGAGATGCATGTCCGAATCAATTTATGTCAAAATAAGAGTGCTTCAGTGAGGAATACATGGGATGTGTATGTGGTGGGTCCGGATGTATCTCCAAACAACTTTTGGAAAACATACGGGGTAGACTAACTTTAGGGCGTGTTTTGGTGCTGAGAGGGTGTGTCCGAAAATGCATTTCTAGAATCTGAAAGGGCATTTTCGAATTTTCTTAGGATGTTTTTCTACTACTTAGAGTGGGATAGGCAATCCCTATTTTATTATATTCATACACCAGAACTAATGTTACAACAAGACAGAAATGTATCAAACTAGACGCTACAGAGTCCATGGTAGCAAAAAGACGTCTAGGATGGAGCCCCAAGATATGAGGCAAGACGTAAAATGTCACTGAATATTCCTCCAGCTGTGACTTGTGCACCAGCTCCTGGTCCACGAACTATCAGAGGCTGATCTCTATACCTTCTTGTTGTGAATGCAATAATGTTATCCGAGCCAGATAATTGAGCAAATGGATGATCCTTCTTGTATCGTCGAAGCTCCACCGACCCCTTTTGATTAGCCACGTCTACCACTCCCACATATCTCAACACCTTCAAACATCACATAAAATAATTAAGAATTTATATATGAACATTATGCTATGAAGAAAATGTCATCTAGTTGATAATGTAAACTTCTATGATAAATTAAACAGAAGCTTATCAAATATCAGGTTATGCCTAGTTATTACTTACTTCCCCTGCAGTGTCAGCATCTTCTTGTTTCTTTGATATCTCGTGATCGAATTTTGGTAATTTCTGCATAAACTCTTGAGCTGATGCACTAGCCTGCAAAATCATCAAGGTATCCATTTTGAGTATAAGAGTATATATTATTACTCAGTACCGTATAATTGAAGAAGTTGGTTCTTACTCTTAATTGTTCCGGCACAAGATTTTCAACAGGAATATCAGAAAGCTCTAGCTTCAAGCCAGATTCCCTTGCAAGAATTATCACCTGTAGAACCACAGGAATTTAAAGCTAAGTGATCACAAAATAGTTAAATCAAGCATTAAAAAATATCATTAACCAGAAGAAAACGTTATGGTAGTGTTCCAGCTAGTTCTCATGAAATCATGTAATGTGCATACTTTAAGGTTAATTACCAGTAAGACATTTTGAAATTGTTCAAGTAGTATTACTTTGAATCAACTTGTGTGCTTTAAGTCTGTCATGGATTTTAGTATCTTAGCGTTTAAGCTTGAAATCAAATACAGGTTTATACATGTAAATAAATTTCAAATCATGCTCGTGCATAAATTTGAGGCCCAATGTTTTGTGAATCAAAAACGAACATCCACACATTTTGGTTCGTTCAAAAAGTGAGAAAAAAATGATGCAGATATGTTAAATATTGCACATTGCACCTTTCTTGCAACATCAGTTCCAGACAGATCATCCCTTGGATCTGGTTCAGTATAACCTGCTTCCTTTGCTTCAGCAACTACGTCACTAAAAACTCGTCCATCTTTGAAATTATTAAGGATGTAACTCAAAGTCCCGCTGCAAAATCAGATGCAATATCTTCAGTTTGAAAGCATAAAATCAAATGAACAAAATCTAGAGATAATAATAATCCTTGAGTATGTAGTTTTAGCCAGTTAGAGTAGACTAATTACTAGATCAGAAATTTCAAAGTCTGAGATGTGAAATCACCTGAAGATGCCTTCTATTTGCAATATTTTGTCACCAGTTTCGAGAAGTCCGCGTAATGTGCTAATAATTGGAAGACCAGCTCCAACAGTAGCTTCATAGAAGTAATGTGTGTATGATTGCCTCTGAAGAACTCTTAACCTCAAATACTAGAAATAGAGAGTAAAGATAAGAAAGTCGCAAAAGTAGTAATTTGTGAAGAAAAAAGTAAAACAAAAAGTGTGTTAAAAACTTAAGGAACCATCAATATATGCCACTGAAATGTAATTTCAAATTTCTTAATATGGTGGATTAGTTTACCTCATCAAGTGGTCCTGAATTTGCCTTTTTATTGGGGGTGACTACATGTATCCCTTTGCGCAGCCAGTCATTGTAATGGCTTGCTACACCGGAATCAGCTGTGCAGTCCACTAAAACCGTGTTTGGTATAAAATGATTTCCATGCACATGTTGAACAAATTTTTCCAAATCAGTCGCTTCACCTTTTTCCTCACGAATTTCGCTCCACTTTACTAAGTCGATTCCCCTGCAATACAAAACTATAGTTCATCATACTTGAATTAGACGCAGATTAATATGACTAATAGACCAAAGATAAAGCCAATGGAATCAGCTAAAAAATTCAAGGATGCACACTGCATATCAAAGAAATTTTCTTATCAACAGATGAATATTATTGATCAAGAGATTTCATTGTTAACTCCTTAGCATTCAAGGGATTGGGCTCAAAACAATTTAACTTACGAATCATCAAGGAGCATCGACTTGGAACCCATGATCCCCATTACACGTAAATCAATGTTTGATTCTTCTTTCAAAGTTTCTGCCTGCATTAACAGATGTTACATGAGTTAAACTATTGACCATGAAGCCATTATGCTTGTTGAATCCCTACGTCGACATAATACTTATACTTTGGACCTAGCTACTAAAAATATGAAACGGTAACCAAGTAGTACCTGATCCCTTAGCTGATCAAGGAGAGTGCTCCCAACTAATCCAGGTCCAATTATGCCCATTGCTATGGTGGTTTCTGAGTTATAAAATCTAGAATGGACAGCCCGCAGAGCTTTTATAGAATCCTTCCGCTTAAGAACAACACTAACATTGTACTCGGAACAACCTTGTGCTATAGCAAGGATATTTATGTTGGCCTGTTTCATTTACAAGTTTGACCATAAACAAGTTAAGCAAATTAATAAATAAATCGCACATCAACATATTAAACAACTCCTCCATGTTTCTTTGATATCTGTTTTGTAATCAATACTTTCACCTCTTCTTTCTTAATTTATTTCACCTCATTTAAGTCTTGTTTTAGCTTCACTTATTAACTTCTTAGTGAGTTACATAACTAAATAATAATAACACACTCTTGTAAATTTACAAAACAGTATTAAAAACTTCACAAAAACTGTCATACAAATACAATACCTTAGCCAATGCATTGAAAAGAGTGGCACTAACTCCTGGGGTGCTTGCCATTTTCTGGCCAACAGCTGCCAAAATACTGCAATTTGGAATGACTGCGACCTGAGAAGTGGCAACATACTTTAGATTGTTATAAAGATGACAAAGTATAATTTAACAAATTGTATATGTCAACCTAATGAATGTGCATCATTAAGAACTGAAATAAGGCTTCCAGCCTTTCCATTTGGCATAAAATGCCACGACTGATATATTACTCCCTCATTGTATTAATAGTCTCTAATTCCATTTAATGGAGAAGTCAAATTTGTTAACGGATACCCAAGGAAACAACCAAGATTTTTCAATATGTGATTAAAATAAGTAGATCCCAAATTCATTAGGCACTTGTCAATAATAAAAAATGTAAACCCCCAATGGTTTGTCGGTTGGTGAAGGCTTGGGTCCTGACGTGGTTGTCAAGATCTCTATCCAGATCTCAAAATCTTAAGATTTTACGATCTCACTCACCTCCAACGATCCCGATCTTAAGTGGAATCGTGTGTTGTAACCAAATTGTGAAAAAAATCGCAAATGCTTGCATTTTGAAAGCCGAGAAGGATGACAAGATGCAGAGACATAACAATTACGGTTCAATGGTGATGATTGCATGTCTTTTGAAATGAAGTTTTAGATTTAGGGTTTAGAGAATAAAACATCTCACTTATAGGGTTTGTTTAAAATAGTTGACTCATGATAAACCTAATGATTTATCAAATATACTGTCTAACAAATGTTTCATGTTATAATAGTAAAGTATGGAAACTCAATCATACCGGTCTAACGTCTAAAGAATATGAAAATGTCATTTTCCCACTAATACTTGTCTACTAAAATATATCATCATGTAAAAATACTTTTAATATATAATATTAATTTTTCATTTTAGTAATATCTTACAATTCATGCTGCAATTTTATGTTTTAGGATCTTGCTATCCCCCTCTAAATCTTTCAAAAAATAGGATCTTTCGATCTTAGCTATGATTTTATATTTAACGATCATGTTATTCCCTCTCAATTATATTTAAGATCCCGATGTTGACAACTTTGATTTTGAGAGTGTGCTCCTCTCAAGATCTCACGTTTGAATCCCGCTAAATGCTAACAATCTTTGTGTTGGACAAGTCCATATAAATCTTCACTCTAGCTTTAAACGGGCCTCCCGCTAGTGGATGATGGGATTAGTCCCCTTGAGTTATACGGTCGCAAAGCCGGATACCAAATTTTCAAAAAGAAAAATAATAAAAAATCTAGATCCTAGATCCTAGATCCTTAAGATTACTTCACAGTCAATGCACCAGCCAACAGTTTTTCTTGGTCTGAATGAGTAATGCATCACTGATAGGCGCGCCTTTTTTCTCCATACCATGTAAAGTGGAGTATGCATCAAATGTTTATTGTATATGCTTAGTCTGCCCTTATTTAAGGAGCTGTAAATAGAGAAGCGCTTAAAGGAAAATTATATCCGTACCAGTTAGATTTTTACTCTTAAACAAGTTCTTAATGTATTTTTGGAATTAGCTTGCAAGTTATATTTGTATTTGGAGTTAGCAAGTAATTCACGTTTTATATGATTGATACAAATAAACAAATGACCATAAGAATAATTTGGTTGCAATCAAAGTGAAATAAGAGTATTGTTATAGAAGAATTGGAGTTGGCACCTGAGAAAGACGCCCAGCATACAATGCGTTCTGGAACATCGATTGCAATGCCTCAGAAACAGCTTTTACTTCCTTCTCGGGCACAGCAAAACATACAGATTGCTCGCTACTAGCCTATACGAACGCAGTTAAACATCAAGTAAGTTTCATATATGTAACTGTGGAAAAGTGAGGGAGGAAAGCAGTAAAATACGGTGACTCAGTGAGTGTACCTGAGATATCATAATAACATTGGCTCCAACCTCTTTCACTGCTCTAAAAATAGTACTGGCAGTACCTGGAACACCAGCCATTCCGGTTCTACAAAACAAAACAATGGGAAAACATTATGGTCTGCAACTTTTTGAGAGTTGTACTTAAAACTAATCAAAGATCTAGAAAACAAATCATTCATTATATGAAACGTCTGCAATTCCTGACTCACCCTTCCACATTTACAAGTGCCAAGTTGTCTATTGTTGTAAAGCCTTTGACATAATTCTTTAATATCTTCTTATCTTCATTTTCAATAAGAGAAGGATGGCAGACCTTTGTTCCAGGAGCAGAGGTATTGAAAATATTCCTTATTATAACTGGTATGCCGTATCGAATAACTGGACTAATTGTTCGTGGATGTAAGACATTTGCGCCGAAATAAGACTGCACAAGATGACGCAGTTTGAAAGTTAATCTCCTGAATTTTAAGGACACGAGAAGTTTTGACGCTTTCCACTTTCCAGTGTGCAACTTACCATCTCCGACGCCTCTCGATAAGACAGTGTCTTCAAAATCACGGCATCACTAACTGGATAAGATATTGTTAATGCAGAATTACATAAATGATAAGACAGACGCGCTTAAAACAAAACTAAACCATCATCAATATAATTCAATGGTGGTTAAACTGGCACGTTAAATAAGGAGCAGAACATACCTTTTCTAGGATCTGCACTGTACACACCATCCACATCTGTCCAAATGGTAACCTGACGAGCCCGGAGTAAAGCAGCCATAATTGCTGCAGAGAAGTCACTTCCATCTCTCTTGAGAGTAGTGGGAATATTTTGACGCGTGCTTGCTATAAATCCAGTAGCAATAATTACCTTAGATGGGTTAAGAGAGTACCATTTATTAAGTCTTCGTTCAGATTCCAAGTAATCAGGATCAACATGATCAGCACTAGTAGAATTCACAATGAGGACTTCCCTTGTGTCCATCCATTTGCATTCAGTCCCTTTCTGCATAGTAGAAACGAAGCACGCATGACGCAACCAGCACAACTCACATAAACTTCAAAAAAACGAAATTGCAGATATTTTCTTGTTAAAACAATATAGTATTCCCTCCAATCACAGTTATAAGCCAAAATAACTACTTTCACAGATTAAGAAAGTTAGTTAAGTGTAATTAATTTTCTTGATTTCATGTTTAATTAAAGTAAAATTTACTATAATATCCTTAGTTATATTTGATGAATCAACTACCAACATTAAAAGATTTTGACTTAAAGTAAGAGTATAATAGTAATACAAGCATTAATTAGTCTAAAAGTTAATGACTTTTACTTATTATAGTGAACAAAATTTAAGATCATTTTTTTTGCTTATAATAGTGACCGGAGAGAATACCTTCTTAACAGCATAACACAATATCTGCGCAGACCATAACTCCCCATGTCCCACAACTAAGTCAGTAAAAGATTCTGTAGCATGACCAGCTGCAAGGTATTAAGCGTGTTATTAGTTGAGGTGATAGCCCCATAAATTCTTTATACGCAACAATATAGATGCATTAATCATCCCAAACACCAGCGTCGTCTTTGAAGGTGTGTAAGGTAAACTATCAGACAGAGTCCAAAATTTGTCATAGTTAAACCATAAATAAACAATCTCATAAAATGTTTGTCATGGTTAAACTATTTATTTTTTCATGATTAAACTGCGATTAATCTACATATAATCTCTGAAAAATTGAGACGCCTCTGCCAAAGACATTTATAATAAAAGAACATAACAAAAGAGAGAAACAAAAGGCATGTGTACCTATGTCTATAGCATGAAGCATTGCCTTTAAGTTTCTAATATCTTGATGCAAATTGGCTAAGAAAGTAGCAAGATCATCTTCATCAAATAATTCATGTGCAGTTAAACTGTGCTTCTCTTCAACCACATCCAGTGCAGATATATAAGACTTATCCTGAGACTGAGCCTTGTATATGAGATCATACATCATATCTGTTACTTTTGACATAGCAGACACCACCACCAACTTCCTCTCAGAATCATCATTGATAATTACATCTGCAACATTGTTTATCCTCGCTGAACTTCCCACACAAGTCCCACCAAACTTGTGAACAGACCAAGTTTCTCCTTTTGGTAGCTTTTTCTCCTCTACAGCTACATCCACCGTAAAATCTAATAAAAGAACACGCTAATTAGTTAATTATAACTCTGCAAAATTATTATCAATAATGATTTCTAATATAGTATACAACAATAAATCGGTCCAAAAAACAAAAACAAGACAAAATTGAATATTATTAAATATGTTTGAATGTTTTTTAGTTAAAACTTAAAATCACTAAGTTCAAATTTTGATTAAGTTTTTAAAACCAAGCAGCGTATATATGTATTTTAATTTCTTTATTATTATGATATATTATATTAATCTATTATTTATTAATTTCTAATTTTGTTTTAATATTATTTAATCGATTAATTTAATCTATTTTTAATTATTTTATTCATTCAAATATAATCGATCATTATTGTTCAGTAATATTAATTTTTAATCTGTTATTTAATATATTTTACATCAAACTTATTATTTTACTCTATTTTTATAAAATAAATATTAATAAAAAATTATAATTTATAATTTAGATACTAATCAGAAACCAATTTTAATTTAAATTGTGTTAAATTAGACTAATAAGATTTTTAAGTTAATAAAATTAAATTATAATAATATTTTTTTTTCTTTTGCACTCTGATTCTTAAAAAAATAAATCTTATTAATTTAGAGCTCGTGATACTAATCAAACATTATTTCCACACGAAAAAAGAAATCTATATTTCTTAAATTTCGTCCTTGAATTTCTTTATCAATGAAGCCCAAATAATTCATTTGTAATAATATATTTTTGAATCGGTACAAATTGTTTATCTAGATTTTAATTAATATTTATATATTAATGCAAAGAGGTTAAGAATAATTTTAAAAAACTGATTGATCCATTTGTAATAAAGATTGCCACAAAAAATAAATAATATCTTTTAATTTAGAATAGAACATTAATTCATATTTCTCTCAATTGTATCATTTAATTTATACTGTAGATATTTTAGTCTCAATTTAATATATTATATTTTGCATCTACAGTAAAAATAAATAAATACAAGAATACTAAATAAGTATATATATATTCATGAATCTACATCAATAAACAGAGTCAAATATTTTGGATCACATAAAATAAAGTAAAGTATGAACCTGTAAGTGAAGAGTGTATCTTGAAGGTTGGCGAGTCTGTTCCCCATAGTGAACTAACACTCTTCCTGAGACGAAAAAGTTACCAAGAATAGAAAAACATTCTCAAAAGCAAATGAAAATGAGATTTATTCACCTAATTAATGACAAAATTACATTGTTACAGTGAAGAATATGAAAAACTACTAGTACTACTGTGAAGTATAGTTATGGAGTGTGAAGAAAACATACCTAAACAAGTGTGGAGAATGGAGGGGGAGTAGGGAGTGAGGTTGAAAGGTGCGATGTGGAAAATGTGAAGTGGAGAAGAGAGATTGGGGAGTGACGGGGCAAAACGAAGCCATTCAGCAGGAACAAGAAAGGAGAGTGTGTGAGTAAGAGTGAGAGTGTGAGTGTGAGGACCACTTTATAGTGAATTTATGATGTATGACAAAAGGTTCATGTCAAAGTCTATTATTGGTTTTGTATCAAAAGAAATATCTACACTTTTAGTCCTCCATTGTAAAGTAAATTTTCCATAATCTATCAACTCGCATAAATTAATATAAGTTGTATAAATAAAAAAGGAATCTTATTTTTTTTATTTTGTTTAATTGTAATTTTAGATCTCTATTTTAAAAATTACAATTTTGATTTATTTTATTTTTTTTAGTTTTGGGTTGGATTTTAGTTTTCTTTTTATTTAGAACTTATTTTTAATAATGTAACAAAAAAATTTATGAAGTGTCATTTACTATTTGCCCAAATATATTTCCACTTCATTTTTGTTCATAAAGTTAAATTATTTTATTAAATTTAATAATAATAATTCAATTATCTATTTTATTTTAATAAATAAGCTAATTAAAAATTACAATAAGTAAAATATTAAAGAAATTTTTTAGACACTCTCTTCCTCTCTCATGGTCATAAATATGAATTCTGAGTACAAAAATTAAAATCGAAATTGCAAATCTACTCATTCTCTAAAATCGCCATTAGAAATCTACTCGTTGGTCGCTTTGGTTGCTCATCTCTGAAAGAGCAAACCCAACTTACGTTTCGAGGTATGTATGGTCGCTCATCTCTGAAATGGCAATCCAACTCATTGGTCGCTTTCATGTGATTCTTTTAAGTTGCGCGTTTAAGGCTATAATTATTCTGAAATGTGATTTTCGTTAGGGTTATTCTATTGATCACTCATTCTAAACATTTGTTTATATTTTTGTTTTATTAATGTTGTGGTCCCTGATTTGTTCATTCTAAAATGTTGTTCTCGTTTATACTATGTCGGGCGTTTAAGTTTATCTACTTCGTTTAAGTTTCACGTTTAAGGCTATAATGATTCTGAAATGTGATTTTGCTTAGGGTTGTTGTATCCATCACTCATTTTGAATATTTGTTTATGTTTGTGATTTGTTAATGTTGTGGTCCCTGATTTTGTTCATTCTGAAAGTTCCTTGATTTGTTAATGTTGTGGTCCCTTACAGGTTTTGGGTTATATGATTTCTTTGTGTTGTGATCCCTGAAGTGTTAATGTGTTGTGGTCCCTATTTCATTAATGTTATGGGCTCTAAATTGATAATATTTTGCGATTTGTTTATGTTATGTTATAGGTCATCTGATACCCAAGTTTTCAAACTTAGAGTACACCATCGAGGATATTTAGTATATAATTCAGTGAAGTTGTATGTTGATGGACTTGTTTCTGAAATGAATTGGGATTGAGATATGGACTTGATGTCCTATATGCAAAGTGAATAGTTGATTAAGGTGATGGGTATTGTACTATAAAGTGTTTATGGTATTGGAATCTTAACTTTTCTTTTTCTCATGGACTTAGGCCTTTGAATAATGACAAGGATGTGTTAAGGTTCATGAAAGATGTTAGAGGATTTAAATTCATTGATGTTTATGTTGAACACAAAGTCGAAAAAGTTAATATTGAAGATGTTATTTTTTAGGAGGTTAATGGTGATGCAAATATGGAGGGAGCAAATGAAGAAGTTAATAATGAGGCAGCAAATGAAGAATAAAATATTGAGGCAACAAATGAAGAAGTAAATGTTAAGGGAGAAAATGAGGAAGAAAATGATGAGGGAGCCCGAAGATTTGAGGAGATCTATCGATCGTCAAAAGAAGAATTGTTACAAGGCAAGTGATGATCCGAGAACAAGAAATACATTGACGAGAACTCTTTAAACTATTAAGTGCAATAAATGCGTGAGTGTTGGCCATAACAAGCGAACGTGTAAAGGGAAGAGAGACGCGAGAGAGTGATTCCCAAAGGTGGCAATAAAAAGGCAAAGAAAAGGGTGACAAGTCGGACAAAAGGGTGGGACAAGCGGTTACAAAAGGAGGGTCGCAAACACAACCACCAACTCAAGAATAGTTACTTGTTTATGTTTATGTTATGTTATATTTTTTGAAGTTTATGTAATGAACAAACACTTAAGGTGATATTTTTTGTTATGTTGTTATTATGAACTAAGAATTAAGTTGTTATGTTGCTGAAATTTATGTAATGACCAAACACTGAAGGTCGTGTTTTTTGAAGTTTATGTAATGACCAAACAATTATGGTCATAACCAAACAATTAAGTTGTTATGCACTTACGAAATTCAATGGTTATTCTGGTTATGTTGTCATGCTGTTGTGAAAAACAAGATATGTTGTATGATGAATTACAAGTTATGTTGAATTGAGTTATGTTGTGAAAAACAAGGTTATGTTATGATGAATTACAAGTTATGTTGAATTGTCAAATTATATGTTATGTTGTATGTTGAAACAATGTTATGTTTTATGTTGAATTACATGTTATGTTGTATGTTGAAACAATGTTATGTTTTATGTTGAATTACATGTTATGTTGTATGTTGAAAATCAGGTTGTGAAAAGAGGTTGCAATGTAGTGGACCACATGTTATGTTATGTTGCACATTTTCAGGTTGTAATATAGAGGTTATGTTATGTTGCACGTTGTTGCACCCCAAAATTTGTCCTCTCATGTTTTCCAAAGTCTTCCCCCTGCCTGGTTGATCACAAACTCTTGCCTAAGGAAAAAGAAGATTTTTGAGTGGTACTTTAAGTACCTTTCGATTGGCATCCTGAAAGACACTTATTCTGGACAAGTACCTTTCGATTGGCATCCTAAAAGACACTTCGATTGACATTCTGGACAAGTATTTCGATTGGCATCTTGAAAGACACTTCGATTGACATTCTGGACAAGTATTTCGATTGGCATCCTGAAAGACACTTCGATTGACATTCTGGACAAGTATTTCGATTGGCATCCTGAAAGACACTTCGATTGACATTCTGGACAAGCATTTCGATTGGTATCCTGAAAGACCCTTCGATTGGCATTCTGAAGGAGTCTTTCGATTGGCATTATGGACAAGCATTCGATTGGAATTATGTCAAGGCAATTTCGTCAGGCATGTCAACCATGTCCTTCGGTTGGCATGAACAACACCTTTTGATTGGCCTGTTAGCAGAGCCTTTCGATTGGAATCCTTCGATTGATATTTGGGCCAGGCCCATTCGAAGGGTACGCAGGGAGTCCATTCGAAAGAGGCAAATCAGGACTAATCGAAGAGCATGGCCTGAAAGCATTCGAAATCCAAGCGTCCAGGTTCATTCAAGGGACACGAATGTTTCAAAAAAGGAAATAATTTAATGTGTTTGATTTTTGTCCAGAGCGTTAAAGGCCTGTTTTAATGGTTGTCCCTTGCCATTACTGCACCCTCACACCCCTATAAATACAGAGGCCAGCATACAAACACAAGACACAAAAATCAGAGGACAATTATACAACAAAACACACAAAACTCTGCAGGAGAACACACAGAAAAATTGCCTTAAAGAGCCAAAGCAGTCCTTCAGATCAAAGGTGCCCACGCCCAGAAGCCCAGATCGAAAGTGCCTGCATCTAGGAAGTGCCCAGATCGAAGGTGCCTACGTCCAACAAACGTCCAAATCGAAGATCCAATCTGCTGGTAAGAAAGGGTAAATTATTCAACCTCATATTTGCATAATACATTCATACTTGTTGTTATCTCTGATTTGCCATCCTAGACAGGATCGAAAGGCCTGGGTCTGGCACTCAGGTCATGTTTTTCGTTTGCTAACACTTGCTGCAGACATAGCCTGAAGGGACCCAGCCAGCGCAGGATCGAAGGGCCTGGGGTTCAATACCCAGGCCCTGCGTTTTATTTCGCTAACATGCTTTTGCAGGTATAACATCCCAGATCGAAGGAGAGCCCTTCTCTGGATCGAACCCATTAGCATGCTGGATCGAAGGAGGCATCTCATTCCTGGATCGAAAGCCATGACCTCCATGATCGAAAGACAATCCTCTTCCCTGGGTCGAAGGCTACTCACGCCTTACTGTCTGGCCTAATCGAAAGGACCATTTCCCTCCCTGGGTCGAAACTCCTTTTTTCCCTGGATCGAAGGATCCCCCCCTTGTATTTTATTTTTGTTTTCATTGACATCTTTTTATCTTTTTTTAATTAACATTAAAATATAAAAAAAACACAAAGAACATTAGGCTAGTTTTTTCTATTAAAATTAACTTTGTTAATTAATCTCTTAATTATCTTAACATTTTCTCAAAAGAACTAAAATTAAATAGATTTAGATCATTTTCCCAAAATAAAATAAAACAACAAAAAGATTTCGTTCTTAGGATTTTTTAGATTCACGCGCGTTTATTTTACTGGGATGTAATAGCTTAAACTAAGACCCTTTACTGCTTTTATTTCCCCAATTTTTGGACATGTAAATAATCCCCCTCCCCGAAAGCCTTGTAATAGCGTAGGATTTACAATTCCCGCACTTTAAATTCATGTACATATATTAATTGCTTAGATGTATGCTAACTAGGATTGCATGACAAGATTAACTCTTAACTTAAAATCAACAGTAGCTCACCATGACATGCAAGAATAAAATAACTGAAAATTGACACACTTGCACATGCCACTCCTAGGGTATACCTCATTTGGTTGCCTCGAATGTGGTCATTAAGTATAGGATGTTTTAGAGGTCGTCCTTTTGTCCCAAGATCATAAGTTGTCTCGAAATGGTTGCCTCGATAAAAAATGATCTAAGACATTAGGATTACCACTAAAGCATCCTAATGTTGCTTTAGTGACCACAAGTCCCTTAAATCGAATTGACCCGAAAACTCCAACGACGGTGCTACCTACTCCTTAATAGTGGGATAGCACTGTCTAAAGGACATTTGCACAATTAAATTCCTTTTTGAGTAGGTAGAGGTTCTTAAGTACTTGCTCCTTTTAAAAACAAAACAAAAACTTTTCGCACTTACACTTTCTTCAAAAACAAAATTCT